TTGTGTACTTTAACAACTGCTAATGGAAAGATGAACTGAGGTCATGTGAAGGGATAGTCCTGTCAATCTTCATACATTCTTTGAATGTTTATGACAACGAAATTATAGACGCTTACTTGACAGAAACCTGTTAATTTAAGTTATTCATATTAAATTACACAAAAGCAAGAATACCAACAGAGTAGCCACAGCGAATGTTACTATTTGGCAAAAATATACACATTTTGTACTTTCTTTGATCCCTTTTGTCCTTTGCACATTTTGTGCTTCCTTTTGGCAATTTTATGTATAACTGATTATTTTACTTTACTAGTATTGATGAAGAGTCTTATGAATAAGGACTTACCTTGAACCTTACCTTGAAACTCATTCATGATGCTTAATCTGCCTACCTACTCTTTCTTGACATGAACACCATTTTTATTATTAGTGTTGCCATTTACGCTGTTTGAGTTCAGCTTCCCTTTTGCCATCAGTTTTTTAATGTGGTCGTGCGGCCCCTTCCCCATCAAGGCTGAAGGGTAGCGGTAAGAGCCTCCAATGCGGTCCCACAGGGTGAAGTACTGCCCGTAGTTGTAGTCGAAGAAAAGGTGGTGGTCTGTGTGGTGAGCTGAACCGTTGATGATTTGTTCCATCAGGCTGGGCACACGGTAGTCCCCGTCATGGATGGAGATGGTCCATATGTTGACGAACACGTACAGGACTAAGTACAGAACCTTGTGTAGGGGGAAGAAAAAGGGGTAGATGTGGTATGGCAGGCCCTGAAGAAATCCGTCCACAGGGTGGAAAGCGTGGCTAGCAAATGGAGTGGGGATCTTCCACACATGATGTGGTTTGTGAAAATACTGTATATGAGGGAAAAGATAAAAAAAAGCAAGTTAGATGGAGCTGAGAGTACTACACTTTTATTGGTAGCTGAAAGCATATTCAAAATTAGATCAAATATGTTGTATTTTCACCCATGCAGGTGTGTCATTCTTACTACGTACCCATCATACGGATGGTGGATAAAATATTAAATTCACATTTTTTATAAAGATGGAAAAATATTTGTAAATTTTAGACTTTTTATTCAATATCACAAAGTTAATTAGATGAATAGTGGTGAATTTAACATCATTTCACTGCTCGGTATTAAGCTTTTGTTGTTATTTTTGCACCAGATACTGAGCAACTTTTAAAACAGTGCTGTAATAGTTAACTATATATATATATATATATATATAGTAACTGAAATAGATATAAAAATATAAATAAAACATATATAAAATTAAATATATTATATGAAAAAATTCAACTTAAAAAATGTGACGAAAAGTTGAAGCACTAAAACAGCAAAATAAAACACGAAATAAAAGCATTAAAAATTACAAAAGCACAGAAAAGTATAAAACTTGTGCAGTTATGCTAATTCAGAAGGAAAACTTTGTTGTCAGTGGACAGAAATATTACCCCGACAAGCCAATGTAAACATTTCAATTGCATTGTCTGTAAATTTGCAACAAACAAATATACAGAGGTCCTTTTTTATTAGTAGCCTACAGAACATTCTCAAAACAACCTAAAAGGACAGTTAAAAAGGGCTTAATTTTAAAAAATCGCTCAAGTTTATTCAGTGAAATCGTAGCCTTTTGAAGTTTAATCGTCATATTAATCCATATAGCAATTCTTGTCTTTCCGTCCCCAAAGACCTCTTATAATTGAGACTTTTTGTACCATTTAAGAGTTTGCATGGTCTTAAATGTAAACAGTTGAACTGAAGACGTTTTGAGGACCCGCGGAAACCCTAATAATAACATAGTCCAGTGCAAACATTTCTGTCATGCATTTGCCAAAAAGCTTTTGTTGACTATGAATTTTACCTTTGAAATTTGAGGCAAGTGCAACTCTGGCGTCCCCGTTGTTTGTGAGCAGTGGTATATTATATGAAAAAATTCAACTTAAAAAATGTGACGAAAAGTTGAAGCACTAAAACAGCAAAATAAAACCCGAAATAAAAGCATTAAAAATTACAAAAGCACAGAAAAGTATAAAACTTGTGCAGTTATGCTAATTCAGAAGGAAAACTTTGTTGTCAGTGGACAGAAATATTACCCCGACAAGCCAATGTAAACATTTCAATTGCATTGTCTGTAAATTTGCAACAAACAAATATACAGAGGTCCTTTTTTATTAGTAGCCTACAGAACATTCTCAAAACAACCTAAAAGGACAGTTAAAAAGGGCTTAATTTTAAAAAATTGTTATTCTAAATGGTACCATAAAATAACCTGGTATCTGCAGGAAATTTAAGACCTTTAAAGACCTTTTTAAGATCTGCACTTCACATTTCAGCCTATAAACAATTTTTTAAGAAAAGGGATGAGTCAAAAGTATCAATTATTATATTAATTTAAACAATTATTATCAATTAATTATTATATTAAATAACATATAAATATAACTTAGTGTCTTAATTGTTTAGATTTTTATAATGCATTAGCTTTTTGTCGATCCACTGGTTCACATTTAAAAATATGTAGTAAATATAGCAGATCGGCTTTTTGAAAGAGCAAATTCGTTCTCTGCCAGCAGGTGTCACTTTCGAAACTGCGCATATAGTGGTTTCCCCGGTAACCGCAGTACACAAAGCTGACGTGCAGCGCTCAAGTTTATTCAGTGAAATCGTAGCCTTTTGAAGTTTAATCGTCATATTAATCCATATAGCAATTCTTGTCTTTCCGTCCCCAAAGACCTCTTATAATTTAGACTTTTTGTACCATTTAAGAGTTTGCATGGCCTTAAATGTAAACAATTTAACTGAAGACGTTTTAAGGACCCGCGGAAACCCTAATAAGAACATAGTTCAGTGCAAACATTTCTGTCATGCATTTGGCAAAAAGCTTTTGTTGACTATGAATTTTACCTTTGAAATTTGAGGCAAGTGCAACTCTGGCATCCCCGTTGTTTGTGAGCAGTGGTGTGATGGCGATTTAAATAAAATACAGATTTCCAAACATATGGCTATCCCCTTGAACTTGGTAAAAAGATAATCCGTTTACCATTAGTTTTTCATTTATTATTTGCTAATGTTAATGAATGTTTACATTAGAGTGCACGTTCTACTACGCTGAAATTAACAGGGGAGCGGCTGGAAACTAGCGACCTCTCCTGGTTGGAGATAGTATTAACATCATAAACTGAAAGCAATCTTTACGTGACTTGCTTTTCAAATGTTTTAAAATTGATCATCCGAGTGTAATATGATCCAGCGGGCCGTACTAAAAGACACTGCCGGGCCGCCAGTTGCCCATCCCTGATATATATTTTAAATACCTTATAGATCAACTTGTGGTGAAGGAATCTGTGAATCCAGTAAATGCACATGTCAGTGAATAACAGGAAAGAGACCATGCTGAAAATCAGCCCTGACCATCCTGAAAAACAAGCATAAATAGTATGAGATGGTTATGCCCATAGCAACACGATTATCTAAAGCACATCTGACAGGCTGCATTACTGGCACTTTCCAAAATTAGGGCTGTCAGTTTGTTGCATCAAGATTAAATCACTTTTAATGTTGCTTGTCTACCCCTCCTTAAAATTTGAAAGCCAGTGATTTCCACACATCCAGCTTTTTCCACTACCCAATTGATAAAGCAAAAGATCTTACCGAGGGGCGATTCATCGACCCTGTCGTACAGTTTGCTGTATCCTCTGACCTCAGCGAAAAACAATGCTACTGTTGGTAGGCTGATCCAGGGCAAAGACCACAAAGCATACTTAATTTCACGTTGCACCTGGTTCTGTGGACAAAAATATAATAAATAGCATACACATATATTATATACATACATAAATATACTCCTTTTAAAGACTGTAGGTTGCTAGATGTATAAACAAACCTCCAAAAATTGAGGGTGTTGCTTTAATTTGTGATCAAAAATGAAGAAGTAGCTCAAAGCACCCAGGCCTAGATATAAGACTGCAGCACCCAGGTTGGTGACCACCATCAAGCCAATGATCTGCCGCAGAGTCTCGTCCTCAGGCCATGATGAGGGATACACATAAGGAGTGAAGAAGTAATAATCGGCAACGTTGAGCACAAGGTCCATCTTTGACCCTAAGAGTTGGGCAGAAGTGTAATTAAATGTCTAAAATGTGAATGAAGTATTATAATTCACTTGATCATCATTGCCATATTGTAACAAACACTAAAAATACAAGAAACACTCCAGTGCACTTTGCCCAATGTTGTAAATGATAACTTTGTACTTTCCTAAGACAAAATGAATAAGAAACAGATTATACAGAATGAATGTATGAATGTAGTCTTATAGTTAATATGCTGTAAATGCTGTAATTGTAGGAAACAATCAGCTCACCTGTAAAGGTGCTTTTGAAGACTCACCAGAAGAGAAAATACGTGAGGTTAAAAGCCTCAGAGAGGCCGTCCTTCTGCTCCCACTGTAGAAACACAAACGGACGCAGCCAATAGCGGCTCACTTCCTCACAGCGCGAGCCCGTTTCTTGACATCTCATTGGACAGATGCGCGATCTGGTCATGGCGTTAGTGATAGGGAGTTCAATTCCTTTCCGCGAATCGGTTCTTTCGAACGGGTCGTCTCGAAGAACCGGTTGAAAAACAGATTCAATGATTATTTGACGTCGTTACGTTTTTACATTATCACGGGGCAAACATCTTGTTCTTTGTGACTTTCTCGATTGGACTTTATTATTAAGAGTGCGTATTGTATTTTAATCTGTCCCAGTTCAGTTTGTTATAGCCGTGATTCAGCTCATAAAAAGTCGACTTGAAAATAAATATGATTTATATTTCCAATAAACAATGCTAAATTCATTTGCATCTATTTGTTGAAATGTTTTGTGCGTTTTAGTAAAAACATCTCTGCATAGAAGAACTGTTATACAGCCGTAAACATATTTCCGTTACGTTTTGTTCGTAACAATTCGTGAACGATTCAATTAGATGGGGTTTGTGAACCGGTTCAAAAGATCCAACGAAAAGGTCCGTTCACAAACTGTACTTCGCAATATGACGTTACAGATGAATCAGGGTCAATTAAAGAAACATTGCAATTACTCAGTTTCATTAATCCAGGTACATCAGGCTGACTATGTTGTATTCAGAAATATAGCTGACACGATATGTAGGAGTTTTATTGCAGAAAAGGTTCTAAGAGCAGATGTCGTCATCAGAGAGCGACATAACAACAAACGGCAGCGCTGGGTAGAAGGCTGCACGGGTCTGTATTGTTACTTTCACTATAAGATCATTTAAGAGCTTTCATGATAAGAGTACTTTTATGAAATCCACGCGCAACATAATTTACCATAGATAGATGCAGTGTTTCAAAGTAGTTTGGTCTTTTGATTGTGTAGCAAAGTCTGATCATGGACAGTGAAGTTCAGAGAGATGGAAGAGTTCTCGATCTCACAGATGATGCCTGGAGAGAAGACAGACTGCCATATGAGGATGTCACAATCCCACTGGTAAAACTTCACATCTTTATGCCCGTCATTATCATAAGTAACCTTCGCAATGATGGCGAGTACTGTTAATACTTCAGTCAGCGGTGGAATGTGCACATCGCAATTTTTTTAACTTTTCCATTTACATACGGTATAGAGAGATCGGCCACATGTTTTATGCGTGGAAATATTTGAGCATTAATACTTTATATTTGTATTAATGATATCATGTTTGCCATAATTGCTTACTAGCCCATTGTATGATTTAACATTATTTCATACCTTTTTCTGACAGAGTGAACTTCCAGAATCAGAACAAGACAACGGCGGATCGACTGAGTCAGTCAAAGAGCAAGAGATGAAGTGGTCAGATCTCGCCCTGCAGAGTTTGCATGAAAACACCCCAAACGTTGGCACTTAGATGGGAAGATGCTCTGTCCTCCCCAGCCATGTATTATGATGGAAAGAACTCGACTCATTTCTGAACTACAACCTCAAATAATTGTGCCGCTGTGATTTGCATTGTTTCGTTGTTTTGATATATATATATATATATATATATATGTTTAAAATTTAAAGTGCAGTATTCATTTAAATTGAGTTGTGTGCTAGTTGTTTAAATTCTTGTTAGTACACAGCATTCTTACAATTCACACAATGTTCAAGGTTTCAAACTGGTTATCTAAAATACACAATACTTATATCTTCTGTATAGATTAGTTGCAACCTGTATGGGGTCAGTTTTTTAAAGAAATGTATACTTTTATTCAGAGTGGACGCATTAATTTGATCAAAAGTGACAGTAAAGACATTTTACTGTTACAAAAGATTTCTATTCCAAATAAACTGTGTTCGTTGAACTTTGTATTCATCAAAGAACTTTAATGCTTCTGGTCTACCCTTCCTTAAAGTTTGAAAGCCAGTGATTTCCACACATCCAGCTTTTCTATATGTATAACCACAACCCATTTGATAAGGCAAAGCATCTTACCGAGGCGCGATTCATCGACACTAAAGACTAGAGTAATGGCTGCTGAAAGTTCAGCTTTGCCAACACATGAATAAATTACATTTTAAAATATAACAATAATAATAGTAATAAAGTTATTCAAAATTGTATCAAATAAATGCAACCTTAGTGAAGATGAGACTGCTTTCAAAAAATAAAAAATGTTCCCTACCCCAAATTTTTGAACAGTGGTGTACATTAGACATATATACTGTAGTTGTATTAAAAACAAGAATTAGACTTAAACCAAAAAAAAAAAAATATATATAAATATAAAATAAAAAATCTTTATAGTTTGTGATATTTTGATTGTACTATGCTAAAATGAAATTAGTGACTTAAGCAAGTGTAAAATAGCTAATTGAATTAAATGCACAAGCAGTGAAGAATGGAATCAGTGAAGCATTCCTTCTTTCAGGCTAAGCTGAATTTTATTTGGGTTCAAAGGTGACAGAGATGCTCCATTTGTTATCACAAATATATCTGAAACATGGCTAACTGTGAGCATATTATGTTTTAGTCATAGCCAACATGTATGATAATACTTTCTTGGTATTACAAAAAGATGTGTTCAGCTAGGTGACTCCTTAGGCAGATGTGTAGAGGTTTGGGGGAATTTGACCAAATAGCTATGAATTTATAGTAAATGCTATCTTAAGGGAGGTCTTTATTACAACAATCCATTTGGCAGCAAAATTAAATAAAATAACAGCAGCCGTAGGCCTATTATATTATAGATTTAAGCTGAGTAAGTATTTGTTTTAAAGAGCAATACTGGTATTATTTAGCCTACTCGTTTGTTTGCTATACTAAAATATATTCCCCAAAAATGTGCATTAAAGGAGTAAATGTTATTTGAGGCTAAAAGAAATCAGACTGCAGGTTCATACAAGCTTGATTAAATTAGGCTCTGAGGCTTTAATGCTAAAGTTTTGGGTCAAATCCTCATGAGGAGAGTGCAAGTATGGAGATGCTGCATTAAAATTTCAGTTTGGTCCCATAAATAGAGGTTACATATGAATGCCTTTATTTTTTCCCCCCACGCTAGCCACCCAACCAACCGTTTTCACAGTCTAAAACAAATAAAAACAAGAAAACAGCATATTAAATGTCAATCATAAAAATGCTGGCAAAATGAAAATGAACTTCTTAAGACTTGGCAAAACACAAAAACAGATGTTATTAGGGGATCAACCACAAACATACAAATTATGCCACTGTGAGCTTGGGCTCATCTGAATACTCAAATTTTCAAGGCAACATAATGCAATAATAATTACTGTCTGACAGAACGGTAACATGCAATGACTTCGCAAAGCAACAAAAACGGGTCCCCTAATCATAAACTCTCCTTTTAAATAACTAAAATATTGGTTTATCTCTACCTGACAGATTTGTTCTGAGGGCAATGTACATTGTACTAATTGCAAAAGCACAAATTGTTCAGTGTTATGAAATGAATGGACATTTTCAGGCAAGTGGTTCCCCTTACATAAAGTTTATGGACCTATGTGAAATTTAGTAATGCAGCTTGTTACAAAGATGTAAGTAAGGTGCTGGTCTAAAATCAGACAGAGACATATTTTAATCACTAAATGTATTAAAAACTCCCTGTCAATAACACATTTCTCTGAAAGTGGGATGAGAAATGTGTCTTAATCACTTCACATTGGCACTCTCACCTTCAGTCATTCTCCAATATCTTAATGAATACTTATGCCATCACAATCTGCATTCATTGTTCATCCCTCCAACAACCCATCCAAGCAGAATTCAGTCAAATCTTGTCAAGTTTTAAAATGAAGAAAGAAATCCAGTTTCTTGTGATTAACCCCTATCATATATAATAGTAATGGCACAGTTTGGACAAAATGAAAAATGCACATTTTGGGCCCCCAACCTGAAGGCAGAAAATTAAGAATTTCATGTACCACCTAGTTGTGTACACCGAGTATAAAATGAAGGTAGGATGACTTAAACAGGGCTTCCCTTCCACTGTTACTGTAACATCCAGAAAGCACACTATACATATATATATCAAGGTACACAGAACTGTTCTGTAAAATGTTGATTACATGCATTTCTAAAATGCAAACCTTTACACTTCATTTATATCCAGTCCCAGACCTTTTCAAAGTAATAAAACGGAACAAAAAGAATCCCTTATATCCAGATATACATCTTCCAAGATATACATAACTCGTCTGGTTATGATTCATGTACCATTTGACAATATCACAGAATATCTACAGTATATAACAAGTTATATCTCCATGTCACAATGTTTCAACAACTGATGGAATTATGGTACATTCAGTTCAGTAAAAAGTCTTACATTTCTTTGTACATAAAAAAAGAAAGAAAAGGAAACTGAATGTAAATAGTCAGAAGGCAGTCCACTGTCCCGCAGAGGCTGTTAAACTTAAAATTAATTACTATTGACACCTACAATAATGTTCCAAATTTATCTGGTTTGTCATTAAATGTCTGTTTACTCCGCATTAATCTCTGTCTCTGGCCTCTGCACTGAAAGCTCAGCTTGTAAGAAGGCGCCCTGTCCCAAGGCAGTGGAGTATGCGCGATTACTATGTGGAGTTGAGAAACCAGGGCTGTGATAGGAGCTGGAACCACCTCGATTTGATAGTGATGTTTGGGACTGAGGTACTGGATGGTAGTCATCCAGGTTGTCATAGTGTGACTGTAAAGTAATGGCACTTTGTCTTTGCCCCTGTGACTGATAAGAGTAGGATCCACTATGGTCTCTATCTGAATTGTCTGGTAGATGTGCAGGAAGACTGGACTGGTTGTAATGCTGCCGCTCTCTAACGCTATGGGATCTCTCTGGCTTGGGTGGAGGAGCTGGTTTCACTGGAGCCGCTTGTTCATCTTCACTGGCGCTGCTAGTGGCTGTAACCCTGCATATGTGGCGATCCAAATCTGACATTTCGTAACGAGGTTGGGCACTCCTGCTCTCTGAGTGTTCCTGCCAATGTTTACTGCTCAGTTGCTTTTCCCCTGGTTCAAACTTCGGGTCAAGATGGCCACCTTCAGGTAAGTGCTGCAGGCTTCGTGGTGGAAGTTGCGATTGATGTGAATGGATGGACGAGTAGGTCCTGGAGCTGCCTTGTTTGGTGGTTTTGTCCCCCATCCCATTTCCTTGGCAGTGCTTCTCTGTTTCCATATACATCAGGACATCTGGATCAGAGATCAAGTGCCTGGGAGCATGCTGAGATCCAGATACAATATTATATTTGGCCTCCTTGCTCTCGGTAGCCATCAACACAGTTTTGCCAGGATCTGATTTGCTCCGCATGTGTAACATGTCTATATCCACTGGCATGTAGGGTCCTATGTTGTCATACTGAGACATAACAGAAGCCTTAACTTTTTGCCTTGCTCTGCTTTCCCTGCGGATAGAATGTACGCGAAGCCTTTCTGCTTCTTCTGGATCCCACGCAAAGTAAACACTCCCTTTTAAACCACTGTAAGGTGGCATGTCTCTGCTTACGAAGCTATGCTCCTTTAAAGGAATGAAATGCCGTGAAAGGTAGTGGTAGCCTCCGGATTTGGCTCCAGTCCGAAGGAGAGGGGCACTGTCCCGACCGCTGAAGGAATGGACGTGCCGTAAGCGGATCGTACCGTAATGGTCCACATCGTAGAAAGGGGCATCCAGAATGTGAGAGCCAGAGTAGGGGCTGTAGCGGTACTGAACTCTTCCATTCTCAAAATAAGGCTGCAGTTGTGTGACGTGGTAGTCAGCTTGAGAGGGCGGTTGGTGAGACTTGCAGTGGTAGACTGGGCGCTGGTAGTAAAATAACTCATCATCTGGTGGAACCTCGGTTCTGGTGACCGGCGTGATTTGGCGGATGGCGGTGGGGGGCACATGTAGGGAGTGGACTCTACGGATTGTTGGGTACACGGTAGGTCCATCTACTTGGCTGTAGCCATGGGAGTGGTGCAGTGAGCTTGGAGAAATGTATTCACTTCTCAGTGGGCCACGAGATTTGATAGACTGGTGGTAGGACCTAGGTCCAATCGTATTGTATCGGCCATCACCGTGGCCTCTATAGGAAATCTGTGGCTCTGATTTTGACACATAAGAAACGTGTGGTGGAATACTCTCAGGTCTGTAATGGTATGCCATCGTAGCCTGACCTGAAGGGGATACCCGCTGATGGTAATACACTTCTGTGGTGGGCTCCAGTAGGGCAGCATCCCCTTTTGAGTGGCAAATGTAACCTGTCTGAGTGGAAGCCCTGCGATGAGGTGGATGAGACTGTGGGGGAGTCTCCTCCACTGAGCCTCTCATGGATGTTTCTAATATGGCATGAAAGTTGGCAGGGTTTGCAGCCTCAGTGTTGCTGAGAGCAGCCATTGCTAGTTTACTTTCAATAGAACGAACTGGGGGTGTTGGCGGCATCACTCCCCGAGTATGGTGTTGAGGAGCACTATCTGCTTTTGGATGGACCGGCTTAATGGCTTCCCATGGTTTTTCCATAGGATCAA